TGATGCTCGCGGCTCGGATGGGCGATTGGAGGGAGGCTGGCTGCGCCGTCAAAGCGCTCATGTCTCGTGTCCGGGCTGGCCTCATGACGGAACGAGAGTACAGGATCAGGAGGCAGGTTGTCGCTGGTAATGCGAGGAGCCGCCCGAGCCAATGGTCGATGAGAGGCCCCGAGCCAAGAGCGAGCTTGGTGAACGGGCCTCGGGACTGCTTCTCCTCCTGGCCGACGCTGGCTCGCAGATCCGTTCAGAGCTGCGTTCTTCCTCGACTCATATGCGTACCGGGACGCTTCGGCCTCCATCTTTGCCTAGACGACGAGTCTTTGGTTGATAACCATGTCACCAAAGAACTGAGAATCGGGCGGCGTGCACTCCAGCGGGAACTCGGGGCCGAACAGGGGGATCAAAGCTCCGGCGATGTCATGGCAGAAGGTTGCACACACGGCTCGGGCACACCGATACGGCATCCAATATCCTGGCATCTTGCATGAGCTCTCAAACATGGCGCCAAAAGATGCGCGACATACCTTGCGCGCTTACTGACCCCCCGGTGATGCTGGGAGAGATATCCCTCAGCCCCGGGTTCTTGTCCAGCATCTGGGACGGCTTGGTCCGTTCAAGAGGTCAGCGTCGCGGTCGACAAATATGTGGGATCCAGTGTCCTACCTTGGGATATCCCAGGCACTTGAAAAAGGGGGTCATGCGGACGAGGCCAATGTTGTAGTCCCACATGACCTTGAAGATGGCTTGTTGTCCTGGGACCCGGAACTCGTACTTGAAAGCTGTGGGCTTTTCTTAGCTAGAGGACATTGGGTGAGGCCAGCGCTACTTACCTTCAATACCTTCCCGACCAGTCTTTTCGTAAAAGTTTTTCTTCGTACTATTGTATGGAATGTGCTCGCTGCACTGCTGTATCTGACCGAACGCGCTGATTTGATAAGTTGCGATTTCCTGCATGGCTTGAGCGCTGACATCTTCGAACGGCGGAAATCGAACGGGACCCTGAGTTCTAGACTTGAGTAGCGAGCGGCCGCTTCGGCGAACCGGCTTCCTGGCATCCATTCTGCTCCTGGAAGCCGCTGGTCTCACCGTGGCCGAGGCAGAGACCAATGCAGGAGTCGGTTGATATGAGCAACGAGGGCTTGATTTGGGAGAGGCAGGATTGAGAAGAGACTGAAGCGGCAACATGGCGAACGCGGCGTTTGAACCCCGACGTCGGTGGGAACAACAATGGCAAGCAGCCAGCCGACAAGCTTAGCGCGGCGCCGACAAGGCAAGGCACCGGAGCAGAGACCATGGGCAAGGCAAGAGAGGTAACGCTGCATAGCAAGAGGGATTTCTCTTCGCCCGCTTGGAGTCGAAACTATAGCGGGGACCGTCTGCCCTCAGCCGTTCAAGCCGGGCAAACAAGTAAGAGAAGGGCAAGAGAGCAGCTCTGGGTCGGAAGCGTTTCGCTTGTATGGGCGGGCCGCGGCAAAGGCTCAAGTCACTCTGTTTCCCAGTCCAGAAACGGCTCGTTAGACAGCTCGCGTGGACCTAGCACCACCGATGCCAACGATATCTGGCGTCCCTGGATCAGATATGAGCTCCGGGCTCCTGATGCTGCCCCATCATCTTCCTTTCCGTTTGTGGGTCGGG